CCACTTTGGTGAGTTGTTAATAGGCTTCAAATCTGGAGCCTATCAGTAATAATGCCGACTACCTTGCTGGTACAATGTCTGGGAATGTAGCAAATTAATGATCCTATGCGGGAAAGCATCATGAATATTATAGCAGCGGACGCGATAGTAGATATATTTTAGAAGTTCTCTATATCACTCCGAACAAGGTGCTAAAACAAGATCAAACCAAAACAATAATTTACTCTGATGAATTTAATGATAACTTATCTGAATTGGATTAATTATAATATTCTTACATTTCTTTGATCAATGAGACGCTTGTGCAATTTTGCAACTGTTAGCTATTCTGGGAATAAATTTTACACAACTTAAAACTTGTAAAGGATATACTTTTTTCAAATATAAAATATATTAATTTGGTTGCTCAAGAGGCTAGAATGAGTGCTAATCATGGCTGAAGAAGCATAACATGATACTACCTTAAGCGTTTAATCAGGGAATAATTACTTATCATTATGCATAGCTACTTCTCATTACCCACTTACTCTGCTTACTTTGTTTTAAGGAGGTCAATTTCCGCAGCTTGCGAAGGTCGGTTCTGGTGCTAGAGCACATAGTCAAGGTAGTCTGAGCTTTCTCAACCTGGTTGGCCTTTCTTCTAATAGTGGGCCTAGAGCAAGTCATTTTCGCACAGGTGGACCTTTTAAAACTGGTGCTTTGAAACTACCCGATGGAATTTTAGCTGCAGGCAATGACTATGGAGGCAGTGGAATTCTGGAAGTCAATAGTGCAGCTAATAGCGTTAGCCCTAAAAAGAGTGATATTCCTGGCAAAACTGTATCAGCTTTGGCCACAACAGCCGTATTCCTTGGACAACAAGCTGGCATGTTTAGAGAGAAGGAGCTAGCTCATCTACATGCAAACAGGTAATTGTTTGTTTAAGTAAAAAATTTTTAGGTATCTAAATATTTTTTTACATTTTTAATTGAAGAATCTATAATTATCAGAGCATATATTAATTTAAACTTGTCTAAAAATAATACAAGAATAATGAAAGCTGGGTCGGAACTATGGGCCAGTTGAATTTTTATCTCACATTAATTATCATTTGCAAAGTGTATGTAACTAAATAATTAATAAATATATTTGTTAACAAAATTACATATATTTGCATGTTCATCGCTAAAGGTATTGAAAAATAAAGTTGGATTCCTTTAATTGTGCAAAATAGTTTAATGCGTTAACAAATTGATTTTGATTGCTAAGTCTGCCGATAGGTACAAACAGATAGGTGCGTAAGTGTACAGTATGGATAGATGTGCAGCCAAATTTAATACAACAAAGTCTTTCGTTTAATTACATTTATAAATATAAATCGCT